AAAAAAAAAAAAAAAAAGGAGGGAGGGAGGGAAGGAAGGAAGAAAGGAAGGGAGAGAATGTGTAGTGTAGCTTTGTCCAATGGCAGTATGGTAGCCAATGAAGTTTATCCAAGGCATGATTATTGCTAAGTAAAAACTTTTCCCAGTACCTGCCATGACAATTTAAAATATAGTTGTCATTGGCAATTTTTGACTGTCTGTACAGAGACTGAATAGAAAAAAGAAAAATAAGGGTGGCACCTGTGGCTCAAAGGAGTAGCATGCTGGCCCCATATTGGAGGTGGCAGGTGCAAACCCAGCCCTGGCCAAAAATTCCAAAAAAGAAAATAATGATAATAACCTAAAAATAAAATAAATAAAAAAAGAAAAGAAATGTGTAAAGCCTATAGGAGGAAAACTTTGAAATATCGCTGAAAGACATAAAAGTAGGTATGAACAGATGGGAAGACATCCTGTTCTAAGAATGGGGATTCTATCAACATGAAGATTTCAGTTCACCTTTAGTTATTTTATTAATTACTGCAACCCCAGTAAACATACCAACAAGTTTAGAATTAAATAAGTTAATACTAAAGTTCATACTGAAAAATAAACCTACAACAATATCCAGGAAAACACTGGACAACAAGAAAGTAAACAAATTAAAAAAAAGACATACTAAGAAAGATATGAGAGCCGTCTTCCAAGGCAACCTCTGGGGATCCCTTCCTCCTGGCAACACCCTTGTAGTCTCCTCCCCCTTTGCAGCAGGGCTAGACCAATAGGACACAGCAGAAGTGAGAATAACTTCTGACACCAGGTTATAAACAAATTTAGGTTTCTACTGTAGGCCCTTTCTTGCTTCCTCTCCTCTGTCTTAGGTCATTTATTCTAAGGAAAACTATGTTGTAAGCAGGCTCAGGAGAGGCCCGTGTAGTAAGGAACCAAGGCCTACCCACAATCACATGAGTGAGCTTTGAAGGTGATCTCCAGGCTTCAACTTAAGCAGAGTCTTGAGATGACAGTGGCCCTGGCTAACAGCTTGACTAGCTCATGAGACACCTGGAGCCAGAATCCTCAGCTGTACTGTTCCTATTCCAGGTATACTCAGAAACAGAAACGTAAGTTCTTCTTCTTTTTTTTTTTTTAGAGACACAGTTTCACTTTATTGCCCTTGGTAGAGTGCCATGGCGTCACAGCTCACAGCAACCTCCATCTTCTGGGCTTAGGTGATTCCCTTGCCTCAGCCTCCCAAGTAGCTGGGACTACAGGCACCTGCCACAACGCCTGGCTATTTGAAACATAAGTTCTTAACATGAACTTTGTTTTATGCACAAAATTACTAAAAATATGGTACAGAATTACCATATGAAACATAAATGAATATTTTGTTTAGACTTGTGTCTTATTCCCACAGTATCTCATTCTGTATATGCAGATATTCCAAAATTCCCGCCCCCCGCCCAATCAAAAACACTCTGATCCTAAGCATTTCAGATGAGGGATACTCAACCTGTATATTTATTTTTAGATGTACATAAAAATGAACAAATCCTTACAGAAAAATATAGCTTACTGAAATAAAAACGTAGAAGAAATCAAAATCCTGAGTTTCCTAAAATATTATACAAGTTGAATTAACAGACAAAATCTTTTTTTTTTTTTTTTTTGAGACAGAGTCTCACTTTATTGCCCCCGGTAGAGTGCTGTGGCATCACAGTGCACAGCAACCTCCAACTCCTGGATTTAGGCGATTCTCCTGCCTCAGCCTCCTGAGTAGCTGGGACCACAGGTGCCTCCCCCCAAAAAAAGCCTGGTTATTTTTTTGTTGCAGTTTGGCCGGGGCAAGGCTCAAACCTGCCACCCTCATATATGGGGCCCGTGCTCTACCCACTGAGCCAAAGGCACCACCCTCTTTCAATTCTTTTTTTTGTTGTTGTTATTTTTTGTACAAAAGGCTTTTATTGGTGGGGGGAGGGAGGCTGTAGAGCAGCACTGAGGAGGAGAGAAAAGAGGGGAGAGAGATAAAGAGAGAGTGGGGAAGAGAAGAGAAAGAGAGAAGGAAGGCAGAAGGAGGCGAGAGAGAGCCCTCTTTTAATTCTTAACTGGAATATTTTGATAGGCATACTTACTTGGGTTTATGAAAAAATACAAGCAAGGTGATAAGTTTAGGAATAGTAAAATTAGGGCTTGCGGTATCTTGGGTGGGAGGGGAGCAGAGGCAGCCTTGATGATGTCACTCATGTACGGTTTCTCAAGCTAGGAGCTTATCATTTCACTCCATTGCTTATGTATCTTTGACACAAATTATTTTGTACATATCAAATATTTCATTTTCTTTTTTTGAGACAGAGCCTCAAGCTATCCCCCTGCGTAGAGTGCTATGACATCACAGCTCACAGCAACCTCCAACACCTAGGCTCAAGCGAGTCTCCTGCCTCAGCCTCCCAAGTAGCTGGGAACCACAGGCGCCCGCCACAATGGCTGGCTATTTTTTGGTTGCAGCCATCATTGTTATTTGGGGGGCCCAGCTGGATTTGAACCCACCACTTTAAGTGTATGTGGCTGGCGCCTTAGCCACTTGAATCACAGGCGCCGAGCCATATTTCATAATTTTAAAAAGTGAATTCAATATGCTGTTTCTAAACCTGTTGTCTCCAGCATTCCCCACCTTACATATGGTTTTTTGGTTTGGGGGTATTTTGGAGAGATGTGGTCTCGCTATACTGCCTATCTCGGCCTCCCAAAATGCTGGGTTTACAGGTTTGGACTCCCCCTTTTGGAAAATACTTCAACTTCCCACGCAGAAGCCTGGGGCCGTCTGGTCCCCTTCCTGACCCCACCGCCCATCCTGCCTCCTGGCTCCCCACACCTCCCAGCCCAGACCAGGCTGCCCTTATCTCTGTCCCCAAGCAGCTGCCTCAGCTTCCTGAGCACTCCTTCTCGCCTCCACGCCCTCTCTGCACTGCTGCTGGGCGACGCTTCCCAGCACAGTTCTGCTCAGCTATCTCCTGCTTGAGCCCTTCAGTGCCTTCCGCTGAGCCTGTACAAGCCCCAAAGTCCTCAGGGGGCTGTTGACAAGGCCCTTATGCCCTCTTCAGACTCATCTTCTGCCATTCTCAGCCTCCCCCAAATTTCCCTAAACTACCCAGACTTTCAGGCCAGGGCATCTTTCCACTTATTCTTATTCCTTTCTCTGCCTCACCCACCTTACCTTCTAGTCATCTTTTGGTTTCATCTTAAAGGTCACTTCCTTGGCTCGGCGCCTGTGGCTCAAGCGGCTAAGGCGCCAGCCACACACCTAAGGTGGCGGGTTCGAATCCCCAGCCCGGGCCCGCCAAACAACAATGATGGCTGCAACCAAAAAATGGCCAGGCGTTGTGGCGGGTGCCTGTAGTCCCAGCTACTTGGGAGGCTGAGGCAGGAGACTCGCTTGAGCCCAGGAGTTGGAGGTTGCTGTGAACTGTAATGCCATGGCACTCTGCCCAGGGGGATAGCTTGAGGCTCTGACTCAAAAAAAAAAAAAAAAAAAAAAAGGTCACTTCCTTATTCTATTTTTCACTACATTTTATTATTCAGTACTAGGCATGGTCTTTGAAAATCTCCTCCTCTTGTGATCTGTTACCCTTTATTTCCCTGACTTCCAGCCAAGAGCAGAAGAACTCCAGGGAACCCCAAGGGCCTCTGGGGGGTGGCAAAGCTATAGATAGTAGGAGCCCAGGTCCCTGGATAACCAGATAGAAGCCTACCTTCTGATTGTTCCTCTCTCTGTCAAAGATAAGTGGTGTATTTGTTGTCTGTTGTGTAAAAATCACCCCAGAACTTTGTGGTTTAAATCTTCAGTGGGTCAAGAATTTGGGAGGAGGGCCTGGCATCGTGGCTTATGCCTTTTGGCAGGTGAATTTGAAACACATTCTTCTTAGTAAAGTATCCAAGAATGGAGAAGCAGGTGGCACCCATAGCTCAGGGGATAGGGCACCAGCCACATACACCAAGGCTGGTGGGTTCAAATCCGGCCCAGGCCAGCTAAACAACAATGACAACTGCAACCAAAAAATAGCCGGGCATTGTGGCAGGCGCCTTTAGTCTCAGCTACTCAGGAGGCTTAGGCACAAGAATTGCTTAAGCCCAGGATTTTGAGGTTGCTGTGAGCTGTGATGCCATGTCACTCTACCAAGGGTGACATAGTGAGGTTCTGTCTTCAAAAAAAAAAAAAAAAGGTGAATGTCATGGAGATTGAGAAAACGGACATGTTGCAAAGTTCAGGCAGTGAGAGCAGGGCTGTGGGACCACCATGCCTGGGCTTAGATCTCAACTTAGCTTTTCCCTGTTTGTGGTGCAAACCCCAGGCAAGGTAGTTCTGTGTCTGAGTTTCCTCCCCCATGAAACAGGCATGCTGACGGTACCTCACTCATTGGATTGTGGTGAGGACTGAAATTGTATTTGGCACACAGTGAGAGCTCAACACACATGGGCTATGCGACTATTCCAGCTATTTACAACATGTAAGGGGTGGTATTTTGATTATTCTCAGCCCTGCCCCAATGGACATCACAGACATGGAAGTGATTACACATATGGTCCTACTGGGCTGTGTTCACATCAGGTTAAATGCCATGAGCACCAACATGGGGGGACTCACTAGGGTTCATAACAGATACTGGAAATGTCTTTGGCTGTGCACTAGGCTTTTCCAGGTCAACACAAGAGGGAAAAGCTGCTACTTTATGCAGGGAGGCACAAAAGCGAGGACAGCCAGGCTGAAGAGGTGAGTGGAGCTTGGGGAGTAGGGACCAGTTAAGTCTGACCACAGTACACAGTACGTGGTGGGGAGCGGGGGAGGCAGTTAGGAGCAGATCATGCAGCTGCAGACACCTGAGTGTCCCTGTAGGAAGTCCCTGCAGGCTGGTCACTCAGCCTGTCCCAGCCTCTTCCCAGCAGCCTGGACCACATGTGTTCTAGTTGTTCCTGACACGGTTTCAGTCATATGAGATCAAGTTTGGAACTGAGTGGAATGGAGGGACAGGGTGGCAACCCTCAGGCATCCCTTCTGCTGGTGTGTTCCCAGCAGGTATGATGTGGCTCTGGAACCACCATGCTGTGGAGCCTTTCAGATCTCTGGGTTGCAGTTATTGTCTCAATTCAACAGCTGAGTATAAACTGCCTGTGACATGCCACTAAGCAGATCCAGCAGGGACCCTGCCCAGGAAATTTATTTATAACAATTCCAGCAGAAATGTCTTCTCATCCTCTGTGAAGCGTTTGGCCACTGGGTTCCTGATCTTGTCAGAACCTACCACCCCAGGGCTGCCAGGCCCAACACAATTTATTTATCCAGATATTCAACCATCTACTCATCTGCTTATCTGATCATTTGTTTATTTACTCCTTCAACTCTCACTGAGCTCTTATTCTGTAGCAAGCCCTGAACCTGGGGCTGAGGATGGGATAACAAATTGGACTACTGCTGTGAAACAAAACACCCCCAAACTCAGAGGCTTACAGCAATAATGATCATCTCTTCCTTTCCATTTTGCAATTTGGGCAAGACCTCATGCGGCAGCTCTTTTATCCTCCATGTGGTATCATCTGGAGCAGCTCAACTGGAAGCTAGAGGATCCACTTCCAAGATGTTGCACTCCAGTGGCTGGCAAGTTGGTGCTGGCCATTGGCTGGAGGTTTGATTCTCCTCTACATGAGCCTCCCCATAGGTCTGCTTGGGCTTCCTCACAGCATGGTGGCTGAATTCCAAGATAAGGAAACAGAAACTACCAATTCTTTCAAAGGGTAAGCCCAGAATTGGCATTGTATCATTTCCACAATATTCGGTTCGTTCAAAGGAAGTTACAGCCCAAGCCCAGAATCAAGGGAATGGAGAAATAAACCCATGTCTCTGAGGAGAAAGTGAAAAAGAACTTATGGCCATCTATAATCCACACACCTATCAAGGTGTATAGTCTCATGCTGCTTGGATTAAAGTGAACACTAAGATAGAACAGTTGACTGGTTGGATAATTGATTTTTGTTTGATTTATGAAATCTGAGGATTTTCCCCATTAATTCTTGTTTCCACGTGGAGGGCTTTTACTGGAGTAACTAATACTTCTGGCTTTGTCCCTCTTGCTCCACTCAATTTCCCAAGAAGGGGACAAGGGGCTTATCTTGGTGAAAATGGTAGAAGAAACTATGTATGCTCAGTAAGGAGCCTGAAGAAGGAGAAACCTTTAGGAGCAGAGTGGCTAAGTGTGTTCAACGCAGGGAAGTGGAGACGAACTTAAAGTTGCATTTTCCAAACAACTTTATTGGTAACAAAGATAATAATTTGGTCTCTATCCTGTGTATCTATTTCTCCCTTGGTGCTGAACTTGAGCAGGGAGGGCAGTGGTGATGTTGTAACCCATCCCCAAACCCCAGCTGCAAGCCTATCACATAGTTGGTGCTCAATAAAAACACATTGAATTTAGTTTCTAAAATGTTGACCTCAATTCCTACAGGAAAGGAATTTGGGGCTCTGCACCTGTGGCTCAAGCGGCTAAGGCGCCAGCCACATACACCTGTGCTGGTGGGTTCGCACACAGCCCGGGCCCACCAAACAACAATGATGGCTGCAATGAAAAAATAGCGGGCATTGTGGCAGGCGCCTGTAGTTCCAGCTACTTGGGAGGTGGAGGCAGGAAAATCGCTTGAGCCCAGGAATTGGAGGTTGCTGTGAGCTGTGATGCCACAGCACTCTACCCAGGGTGACAGCTTGAGGCCCTGTCTCAAAAAAAAGAAAGAAGGCAGAGCCTGTGGCTCAAAGGAGTAGGGCCCCAGCCCCAAATGCCGGAGGTGGCGGGTTCAAACCCACCCCCTGCCAAAACCTTCAAAAAAAAAAAAAAAAAGAAAGAAAGAAAGAAAAGGAATTTGGACCACGTTATATTTACTTACTTATTCATTCAGGCTGATAATACCCTGCAATTGGTTAATGCATCTCTCCACCATGAGCTTAAAAGTTCCATGAGGTCTGGAATTGTACTTTGTCCTCTATCGTGTCTCTGACACTTGGCTTGGGCCTGAACATAGTAGGCCCTCAGTAAATAAATGCTTGTTAATTGAAGGACTGAGAATAGTGGCCAAGGGAAGATCAAAGGCAGTCTAGACAACAGACAGACAAACTGGCTCTCATGTGTGGTCAATCCCACATTTGGTACACTTCTTAGAGTGTGTTGGGGGAGTCAGTCAGGGAAAGCTGGAGGGGTTGGTCTTCTAAGCTGGAAGTACCTGTTGTGTTCTATCATGGAAGTGAGGGGACACTTCTTTGTTTTCCTTTCCTTTTTTTTGGAGACAAGAGTCTCACTTTGTCATCCTTGGTAGAGTGCTGTGGTATCATAGTTGACAAAAACTTCAAACTCTTGAGCTCAAGCAATGGCCAGCACCCTACTCACTCCCACAGGCACTGCCCAGTTTTTCTATTTTTATTTATTTATTTATTTTGAGACAGAGTCTCACTATTTTGCCCTTAGTAGAGTTCTGTGGTGTCACAGCTCACAGCAACCTTAAACTCTTGGGCTTAAGCGATACTCTTTCCTTAGCCTCCCAAGTAGCTGGGACTACAGGTACCTGCCACAATGCCTGGCTATTTTTTGTTGTTGCAGTTGTCATTGTTGTTTTAGCTGGCCCAGGCTGGGTTCGAACCAGCCACCTTTGATGTATGTGGCTGGTGCCAAGCCAGTTTTTCTATTTTTAGTGGAGATGGGATATGGCTTTTGCTTAGGATGGTCTCAAACTCTTGAGCTCAGGCAATTCACCTGCTTCGGCCTCCCAGATTACTAGGATTACAGATGTGAACTACCCTACCCAACCTGTCAAGGATTTTAAAAGAAAAACTTTATAGACAAATTAAATTTAGCAGAGTTCATTTGAGCAAAGATTCATGACTCTGGCAACACTCAAAACCAGAAGTGGTTCAGAAAGCTCCATACAGCAAGGTGAACAGTGAGCTTTTAGAAGCAAAACAGAGAAATCACCTGATTGGCTACATGTAGGCACAGCCTTATTTGAACTTGGTATGATGAGTTTGCTACCTACGATTGGCTGAAACCTGGCTACTGGTGATTGGCTAAAATTTTGCTGTTTGCTATACATATTCCCAAATTAGGTTTTGGTTTGTTTACTTACTAAGTTAGGCTTCAGTGTGTTAGGCAGTATAGTGCTCATAGTATGAAAATAGGCTCAGACAAGAGGATCACTTGAGCCTAGGCGTTTAAGGCTGCAGTGAGTTATGTTCATACCACTACAGTCCAGCCTGGGCAGCAGAGAGAGACCCTGTCTGAAAAAGAAACAAATAAAAAAAAATAAAAAGAGTGACCCATGCCATGGGGGACTGGAGAGCCCTGGCCCTATCCAAACATGAAGATGGGCCCTGTGGGGTCAGATTGCCAGGTTTCCTGGAGAAACTAGAAATTCTTACTTTTAAGATTTGTGAAATCTGGCTCAGTGCCCATAGCACAGTGGTTATGGTGCTGGCCACATACACCGAGGCTGGCAGGTTTGAGCCCAGCCTGGGCCTGGTAGACAACGATGACAACTGCAATAAAAAAAGAAAAAATAGCCAGCGTGTGGTGGGTGCGTGTAGTCCCAGTTACTTGGGAGGCTGAGGCAAGAGAATTGCTTAAGCCCAAGGGTTTGAGTTTGCTGTGAGCTGTGACCCACAGTACTCTGCAGAGGGAGACATAATGAGACTCTGTCTCAAAAAACAAACAAACAAATAAACAAAAAAAGATTTGTAAAATCTTACAAATTTTTATATATTGGCAACTAACTTATTAAAATTATAAACACTGTGCAGATGAAACAAAGCTCAGCCAGGAGACATAGCAGGGAGTTCACATCTCGGATCCAAAGGCTGCTTGTCCTCTAGAATGTCCTCCATGAAGCTTCTGATTTATCCTACCACATGGCTCCCATGACCTGAAATTGCTGCTGCCTTTGTTTTCCAATCTTTATTTCTTTTTCTGCTCATGAAAGGAATTGCCACTCATCTTGAAAATTTCAAATCTTACAGAAATTTATAACATAACTGGTAAATACACATACACCAAGTCCTATCTCCACCCCCTTGCACCCATACAACCACCAATAATAATCGGTGAATATCCCTTTCAGGGGTGTCCGACCTACAGCCCACAGGCTGCATGAAGATTATTTGAAGCCTGTTTTTGCTCATCTGTGGTATCAGATATTGCAAGATTTATACATGGACATTTTTTATTTTTTGCTCATCAGCTTTCTTTAGTGTTCATGTATTTAATGGGTAGCCCAAGACAACTCTTCTTCTTCCAATGTGTGGCAGAAAAGAAGAAAGATCGCACACTCTTTTTAAGCTTTGTTTCCAGTTAAATAACTGGAATTTCACTATGTAACTACAATCTTCTTGCTTTTTTCTATAATAACATAGCATGATTTTCTTGGCAGTTACATAGACCTAGACTCGTTTTCTTTTTTTTAGGCAAAATTTTACTTTGTTGCCCTTGGTAGAGTACTGTGGGCTCAGAGCTCATAGCAACCTCAAACTTCTGGGCTCAAGAAATCCTCCTGCCTCAGCCTCCTGAGTAGCCAGGACTACAGGTACCCGTCACAATGCCTGGCTAGTTTTAGAGATGAGGTCTCACCTGAGACTCTGTGGATTGGCTTCCCTGAGTGCTAGGATTACAGGCATGAGCCACCCGGCCTGGCCTTTAGACTCATTCCTTTTAATGACTGTATTTAGGGTTCACAGTGGTCAAGATGAGTGATGGGAATATCAGACCAAAGTGGTTTTAAATGCTAGGTCTGCTGCTTAGATTCTGAATGATTTGGAGGCAACTGTTCAACCTCTCTGAGCTTCAGTTTCCTCATCTATGAAATGAAGAAAATAATGGCATGAACCACTGCATCCAGCCAATACTATTACATTTTTATAGGCACACACAGAGTTTATTTTTCTTTACATAAATGAGATCATAATTGTGACATTGTTCTGGAATTTATTTTTGTTTTTAGTGGCCCATAGACCTTATGGAACTTACATTTTTAACTTAATAAAACATCTTCCAGGCTGGCTCCCTTTCCCCATCCCTGCAACCACCGAGGCAAAGATGGCTTCAGGAGTGCAAGTTGCTGATGAAGTATGTCGCATTTTTGATGACATGAAAGTTAGGAAATGCTCCACACCAGAAGAAATCAAAAAAAGAAAGAAGGCTGTCATTTTTTGTCTCAGTGCCAATAAAAAGTGCATCATTGTAGAAGAAGGCAAAGAGATCTTGGTTGGGATATTGGTGTGACCATTACTGATCCTTTCAAGCATTTTGTGGGAATGCTTCCTTAAAAAGACTGTCGGTATGCTTTGTATGATGCGAGAAAGAGTCCAGAAAAGAAGAGTTGATGTTCTTTTTGTGGACACCAGAACTAGCATCTCTGAAAAGTAAAATCTATGCAAGCTCCAAGGATGCAATCAAAAAGAAATTTTAAGGCATAAAACATGAATGTCAGGCAAATGGCCAGAGGACCTTAATTGGGCTTGTACTGCTGAAAAGCGAGGTGGGTCTTTAATTGTAGCCTTTGAAGGATGCCCTGTGTCCATCATCATTCAGTGCCACATATCGAAAGCTTCCATGTTTAATGTTATCTTCTAGCTATATAAATAAAGTAAAAGTATATTTAGGCCAGAGTCTCCCGGAGGGGAAACTGTCTTGTCATCTTTTAAGTAAACTATTCTATAAACATGAGCAAACAGCCCTAAATAAATCTAAAGTCTAAAGTTAAAAAAAAAGTAAAAAAAATAAAACATCTTCCACATCAGCATATATAGATGAACCTCACTCTTATTACTTAAAGACATATTTCAGGCTTGGCACTGTGGCTCACACCTGTACCCCTTGTCCTTTGGGAGGGCAAGGCAGAAGGATCACTTGAGCCCAGGAATTTGACACCAGTCTGAGAAAGAGCCAGATCCCCGTCTGTACAAAAAAGTATAAAAATTAGCTGGAGGTGGTAGCACATGCTCATAGTCTCAGCTACTTGGGGGGCTGAGGCAGGAGGATTCCTTAAGCCCAGGAGTTTAAGGTTGCAGTGAGCTATGATGATGATACCATTGTACTCTAGTCCAGGTGACAGAGCAGGATCCTGTCTCAGAGAAAAAAAAAGACATATTTGACATATTTCAGACTACAAAAAGAGAAAAATATAGACACACCTATGTATCCACCACCCAGTATATGAAATAAAACATTACAAACCTTGCTGAATCATTCTGTCCACCTTTCTCTGATTACTTTCCTCTTTTGCCCCTTACCCCTCATTCTACATTTGGTACATTTCTTTATTCTTTTACTAGTATATCTCTATTCATAAATAAAATATAGTAAATGGAAGCTGGGCATGGTGGCTCATGCCTATAATCCTAACACTCAGGGAGGCCATAGCAGGAGAAGCCCTTGAGCTCAGGAGTTTGAGACCAGCCTGAGCAAGAGTGAGATCCTGTCTCTACTAAAAATAGAAAAATTAGCTGGGCATCATGGCGGGCACCTGTAGTCCCAGCTACTCAGGAGGTCGAGGCAAGAGGAAGAGGGGACTGCCACCAAAAAAAAAGAGAAGTAAATGGTGTCTTACTGTATATATTCTTCTGCAACTTATTATTTTGGTCAACATTATGTTTTAGAGATTTCTCCATGTTGAATCTCTTCATTCATTTTCACTATATGGTATCCCAGTGCATGATTAAATCACAACCTATTTACCCCCTCTCTTCTAAGGATGAACATTTAGGTGTTTACAGTTTCCCTCTACTCACAAAGTGCTGCAATGAATATTCTGTGCATATGTTCCTTTTCTACACACAGGAGAGTTTCTCTAGGATTGAAATTGCCAGGCTGAAGGGTATGCACACGTTCACCTTTGCTAGATATTGCTAAGTCATTCTCCTTCTCCTGCCTATGCGGAGTTATTTTGCTTCACACTCTCAACAGGTTGGGATGTTAAGATTTTTTACTTTCTGTCAACACATGAATGAAAAATTATCCCTCATTCTTGTGTGAGTTTTCATTTCCTTAATCACCAATGAGGTTGAACATTCTTTTGAGTTGTTTGTGTGTGGCTGTGTAAACAGATATTTTCAGTTCTCTTGGGCATATACCTAAGAGTAGCATTTCTGGGCTACATGGTAGCTGTATCTTTAACTTATTGAAGAATTACCAAACTGTTTTCTAAAGTATTTACAGTATTTTACATTTCCTCTAGAAATGCATAAAGGTACCAGTTTCTCCATATCCTTGTGAACACTTGTTATTGTCAGTCTTCTTTATTATACCTGTCTTAGTAGGTGTGAAATAATCTCTGTGGTTTTCGTTTCCATGATGATTAATGATGTTTAACATTTTTTTCATGTGCTTATTGGCCATTGTTGTTTTTTTTAGAAACTGATATTTTCTTTTTTTTTGAGACAGAACCTCAAGCTGCCCCCCTGGGTAGAGTGCCGTGGCATTACAGCTCACAGCAACCTCCAACTCCTGGGCTCAAGCGAGTCTTTTGCCTCTGCCTCCCAAGTAGCTGGGACCACAGGCGCCTGCCACAACGCCCGGCTATTTTTTGGTTGCAGCCGTCATTGTTGTTTGGCGGGTCCGGGCTGGGGATTCGAACCCGCCACCTTAGGTGTACGTGGCTGGCGCCTTAGCCGGTTGAGCTATAGGCGCCGAGCCCTGATGTTTATTTTCTGTCAACCTCGTTTCCTTCTTGTTTAAGAGCCTGTGGAAGGACAGCTTAAGTCCACTCAGTGGCTGTTCCCACCCATTCAGTGGCCTGGAGCACTGGGAGCTGCAGACCAGTCTTCAGTGGGGAGCTGCTGAGTAGACACAGAGGGTGCCTGCAGCCTTCAGACCAGTCTGGAACCTCAAGTTGAGTAGCAGTGAACCCATGATTTGGAGCAGCCCTTTCACCCCATAATTCCTCCTTGGTCACAGCTTTCTCAGCGGCAACCTGCTCTTCCCTTTTCAGTTTCTTCAGGATCTTTGTAGAAGTGGAGATTGGGCAGGACCGACCTCCTCTGGGTGTTCACAGATGATGCCACGCATATGGAGAACTTTCCAGGCCAGCACCTACTGCATCAGACCCACTGAATGAGTTCCCTCGTTGTTGCCTGGGACGGCAATGTCCATGTGAGGCAGAGGAGAATCTGTGTTATGCAGATCAATAGTAGCCAGGTCAACCTAAGATGCCTCTGTGAGAGGCTGGTGGTCAGCCCTGAGGAGGGTGACCACCAGGAGATGCAGCTCCCGGAATGCTGCCTGAATCTGGCCAGTGAAGGTTTCTGGAGTGATGTGGCCAGCACCAGGAGTGGCTCAAGGGGCAGCCGCAAACTTCAGCACAGCTTGCACCCAGTATTCCTGGAGGATATGACACTGACATCAGCAGGGATTTCAATGGCAACAATGGCATAAGTTGCCAACAGAAGCTTGTCCCCAGGTCCTCTGTAGATTTATGATGCAGATGCCATCACTATTCCTTTTGTAGATGTTCTGTTCCATTTGGAAGTCAAGGTTGGTGCCACCTAAGTGGATTCCTGCTGCAAGAAACTTGAGGACATCCTCCTCCTTCATTTATAGGACAAGGGCTCCAGACACTGAAATTTTCTCTTTAAGTTGTGACAGGAATTCAGAACACTATATGGACCCCTCTCTGGGTAGCGTGGAAAGGCTGTTGGCCATTTCTATATATTCTTGGGAGAAATGTCTATTTTTTAAAATTGAGATAGAGTCTCACTTTGTCACACTCTGTAGAGTGCTGTAGCATCTTAGCTCACAGCAACCTCAAACTCTTGGGCTTAAGTGATTCTCTTGCCTCAGCTTCCCTAGTAACTGTGACTATAAGTGCCCTCCACAATGCCCAGCTATTTTTTTTTTCGTTTGTTTGTTTAGCAGGCCTGAGCTGGGTTCAAACACCAGCCCTGGTGCATGTGGCCGGCACCCTAACCACTGAGCTATGGGTGTCCAGACTAGAGAAATGTCTATTCCAATCTTTTCCCCACTTTTTAATTTCATACTTTTAGACACGGAGTCTTACTATATTGCTCAGCCTGGAGTACAATGGCTATTCATAAGTATGATCTAGTATGCTGCAGCCTCAAACTCCTGGCCTGAGCCTCCTGAGTAGCTGGGACACAGATGCGTGCAACCATGCCAGGCTCGTTTGCCCACATTTAAGTGGACTATTTATTATGGAAATGTAAGAGCTCCAATTAAGTCTGCAAAATCATTCCAGAAAAAGTGCTACGTACCTCATTGGTGAATATTACTATGGTCACCTTCAAAGCACCCCCCTTGGAGTTGAAAGGAATTTTGGAACTCTTTTTCTAGAATGGCAATCAGAGATGTATTTGAGGTTTGACAATTAAGTTCGTGAACTCATCCTAGGAAAAAGTGCTTTGACGGGTAGACTAGGTGCTGGCATCAGTGCATAGCTTCCCCCAGGGTAGTACTTTGAAGGTGATTGTAGTGATATTCAGCAATGAGATATGCAGGACTTTTTCTAGGATGCTTTTACAAACTTAATTGTCAGAACTTGTATTCTAGATATAAGTCCCTTGCCAAATACGTGACTTTTGAATATTTTCTTCCACTTTATGGCTTATCTTTTCACTTTCTTTCTTTTTTTGAGACAGAGTCTCACTTTGCCACCTTCAGGAAAGTGCTGTGGAGTCATAGCTCACAGCAACCTCAAACTCCTTGGCTTAAGTGATCCTCCTGCCTCAGCCTCCCAAGTAGCTGGGATTATAGGTGCCTGCCACAATGTCTGGTTATTTTTAGAGATGGGGTCTTGCTCTTGCTCAGGCTGGCCTCAAAATCATGAACTCAGGCTATCCCCCCACCTTAGCCTCCCAGAGTGCTAGGATTATAGGCATGAGCCACCACACCAGGCTTACTGAAACAGTCCTACTGTGTCACCTGGGCTAGAGTGCTGTGGCTTGAGCCTAGCTCACAGCAACCTCAAACTCCTGGACTCAAGTGATCCTCCTGCCTCAGCCTCCCAAGTAGCTGGCACCTGCTACAAAACCCAGCTATTTTTTAGAGAGGGGGGTCTTGCTCTTGGTTAGACTGGTCTCAAACCTGTGAGCTCAGGCAGTCTACCTGCCTCTGCCTCCCTGAGTGCCAGGATTACAGGTTTGAGCCACCTACCAATTTTAAGCCCGGCCCCTACCAATTTTAAGCATACAATTTGATGTGCTTTAAAAAAGGTGAATAAGGGTGGTGCCTATAGCTCAGTGGTAGGATGTTGGCACTATACACCAAGGATGAAGTGTTAGAACCAGGCCCTGGCCAAACTGCAACAAAAAATCACCGGGCGTTGTGGCAGGCGCCTGTAGTCCCAGCTACTCGGGAGGCTGAGGCAAGAGAATTGAGTAGGCCCAGGAGTTGGAGGTTGCTGTGAGCTGTGATGCCACAGCACTCTACCGAGGATGATAAAGTGAGACTCTGTCTCTAAAAAACAAATAAATAAATAAGGTGAATAAGTTGCCAGGTGCAGTGGCTCACGCCTGTAATCTCAGCACTGTGGGAGGCTGAGGAGGGAGAATTGCTTGAGCTCAGGAGTTGGAGGCTTGTCTGAGTGAGACTGAGACCCAGACTCATGAAAAAAAATGGAAAAACCCAGTTGGCTCGCTTATCCCAGCAGCTTCAGAGGCTGAGGCAGCAGGAT